TTTGTGCTGACAGCACGAAGCCTGCTTGGGATCCCCCCCCCCCCCCCCCTCTGCCCCTCACCCTGCTCTCTCTCAAAAATAAGTAATAAAACATTTTTTTTAAAAGGTGGAATAGTAACTCCATGCTGTTTTACTGCAGATGGCATTTCTACTGATTTGGTACTTGTTTTCTTCCCAGTGTTTTAAATTTCTTGCCATATAATGTGAAGAACCACTCACCAAAAAAGTTGGCTCCTAACCTAATGCTGTGACTGTGGTTTTTTTTTTTTTTTTAATTACATAAATCTGTCTTTAGAGACAAAACAGATTAAAACCATTGCATGATGTGGCTCACTGCTAACAAGTTTCAACACTTTAGAAGTTTTCAAAAAATGTTATATACTTTATTAGTGGCTAAAACTTGAGGTTTTTGTTTCATTATTTTAATTTACTACAAAGTGTCATCTGTGCACCTGTATCACACATACTGTGTTACTGGGATTTTCAACTTTATATTAAATTGAGTTTAACTTCTAAGTGGTTGGTGAATCTTCTAAAATCATTTGTAAAATTTTTTGTGTATTTCCCTTTTCCTGGAGGGTCATAGCTTTTGCAGAATTCTCATGATACTCCCCTGCCACCTGCCCAAACACCCCCAAAAAGGTTAAAAATCATACTACTTGTTTACCAATTTCTTGGTGTCAAGGAGTATTTCTTACTATTTCTCTTGTTCCCCCCAGCACTGTGGGCACAACAGATAATTATAACAAGTATCTGTTTATTTGAACTGGTAAATAGATTGACTCTTAATATGTCCTCAATTATCTTCAAGTTTTCTTTTATAGAAGATATCTACTTATTACTTTTCATTTCATTGAGAGAAGCATTAGGACTTAAATTGCAAAAGAACTGGGTTTGAGGTTGAAGGAGAATTTCCTGACAGTTTTGTGAAACTTTGAAATAAGGCAGTGAATGGTTATAGATCCCCTTCATATGATTGCTTTAAAAACTGGTTGGACATTATCTGAATGGATTCCTTTTATCTCGAGACAAATAAAAAAGGCACCATTCTGATGTAATTCCATGATTCTACAAAAACACTATCCAGTATTCTTTTTTATTTGAAATTGATTTGATAATTATAAATAGAAATTAAAGTTTTAAAAAACTGTTCCTAATATTTGCAGATTTATTTAGACACCAAATAACTACTGACCTTTCCCCCGAATTTCTTTATTGTAAAAAGGTTAGAGAGGAAAAGTGTCATTTAAGGAGTTGAGATAACTTACAAGACCCTGTTCTTAAGTACAGTGTAATTCTTGGGGTGCCTGGGTGGCTCAGTCAGTTAAGCATCTGACTTCAGCTCAGGTCATGATCTCACAGTTTGTGGGTTTGAGCCCCGCGTCAGGTTCTGTGCTGACAGCTAGCTCAGAGCCTGGAGCCTGCTTCGGATTCTGTATTTCCCTCTCTCTCGGACTCTCCTTTGCTCACGCTGCCTCTTTCTCTCTCTCAGAAATAAGTCAAACATTAAAAAAAATTTTTTTAAAAAGTACAGTGTAATTCTAGACTTAAAGGCAGTATCACATCTGATTACATTTTGCCCTCATCTTGATAGAGGTTGAGAAGAAAAAGGATATATTCCATCATTGTTTGAAGTTGTAGCCACTCTCTGTTGGGATCTTAGGTCTTAGAACTTCTGGGGAAGATGGTGGAGTAGGAAGATCCTAAGCTTACTTGGTCTGATGGATACAACTAGATAACACCCACATCAGTGTAAATGACCCAGAAAATGACCTAAAGACTGGCAGAACAAAGTTTCCATAGCTAAATGTAGAGAAGAAGCCACATCCAAGAGAGTAGGAAAGGCAGAGACACAAGGGAGGGGCATCCTGGGTGTGGAGAGGGAAGAGAAGCAGATGCTCACACAAGGGACCCTGTACAGGGAAGACATATCCCCATAACATTTGGTTTTGAAAACCAGTGGGCTAAATTTCCCTTCTTAACACTTAACAGTGGGACTTAGCACTTGGAACGTTAAAAATCCGTGGGTTTGGCTCTGGCAGACCCAGAAGGGCTAGAGGAAACTGCCCTTAAAGAGGGAGCACAACAAACAGCCCCATTAAGATATAGCATAGAAGCAGCAGTTTGAAAAACACCTGGGGTAAGGGAGAGAAGGATTTGGTTATTAACCTCAGAGTATGTGCTGGAGGGGCAGGGATCATTGGGGACTTCTCCAGGAACAAAGGAGCTGCCTGGCACCATTTCCCAACCCACCTTCCTAGCATAAGCCCACAGATACCTGCAGGAACCAGTTCAGAGCCAACTCTCACTGTCTAACAGTGTGCCCTGACCCTGCATTCTGCAGACATGCCCCCTCCAGCCATGCCTCAGCTCCAGGTGTCTTCCCATAGCAAACCTATGCAAACCTTGTTAACAACACACATTCCACCCCACACGTTTCTGTGGACCTGCTCCCCTCCAACCTGGCTTACCTGTTCCATTTAAACCAGGTCCCCTGCCACAGCAAACCGGCCCAGATCTCACTAACACCACCTACCCTGCCCTGTGTTCTCCTGTGGTCCTGCCCCCTGTAATATGCTTTTGGCCAGAGCCCAGCCAAAGTGGTACCACAAGCCTAGTAGGGTGAAAGCAAATCCAATAGGGATTGGCACCACTCCAGAGTAACTCCTTCCGTGGGAAGAGGGGCAGATAATCACACACCAATCTGACCAGGCCCAGCAGTGGACTGGGGGCAGATGCCTGGTCTTTTCCAGGCGTTTTCACTAAAGAAAGCCAAAGAAAAAGAGACAAACCAAAATACATACTCTAAACTATAGAGAACAAATTGATGGTTACCAAAGGAGAGGTGGGGTGAGGGATTGGCATCATGAGCAATGTGTAATGTATAGAATTGTGGAATCACTATATTGTACACCTGAAACTAATAAACAGTGTATATTAACTAGAATTAAAATTAAAAACATTTTTTTCAATAAATACAAAGAAAAAAACCATCTTGGATTTCACTTACTTTGAGTCCAGAATTGTGCCTTATCTTCAGGGTACTTCATGCCAAGAATGAGACTGTGCTGGACCAAAACCAAATCCCTTTGAGGAAAGAGATGACAGAATTCCCTGCATTGTTCCTTTCTGTTTCTTATCTTTCCATGCCATATTCACTATACTCAGCTTATAGTGAATTTTTGTAAAATGAGTTTATCACTTGATATATTTGGAAAGATGCTCAAACTAGGATGAACTAGGATGATCTTAAATGCCTTAAAGTAAGCATATATCTAAAAATTGAAAGAAAAAACTATAGCCGAAATAATATGAAAATACAATTATACTTTTCCTTAGGACTAGAAGGATTTTGGTTTTTTAAACTGTTACATGAAAGTTCACCTAAACAAAAAACAAACTTTATTTATCTTTTTTATAATTGAAGCCTGAAAATAATACAACTTATTAAACTTTGTTTTTTAAAGAGCTTAGATACTGACAAGCCCATGGAACCAGTAAAAAGATCTCCTCTTCGTCAGGAAACAAATATGGCCAATTTTTCTTATCGCTTCTCCATATACAACTTGAATGGTAAGATGTAATTGGAAATAAAATATAAAATAGTATACTAAATTATATAATGTGGAAGCAATGCAGTTACAGTTCTGAATAACTCAATATAAAAACTACATGCATAACTTCAGTGAGTTCTTCTATTTCTTGATTTGTGCATTTTATTACAAATTCAAATGATCACAGAACAAATGAAACTGGAACATAACTAAAATAGTTTTCAGTTATTAATAATTGACCAAGTAAGTACATATTCAAGTTGGAACTCCATGACAAACTTAATTGCATTGTTGTATTTTCATTGAAATATAGTCCAGTGAAATTACCGGTAATAATTTTTAAATCAGTTCCTCTGGCCTTAATGTATTCTGCCTAATCAACTTTATAATACTTGGAATTGATATCATAATCTGTGATTTTTTTAGGCCTTGTATTTTTTCCCTCTATCCTCTCAACTCTTCAGGTATTAACAGCTTAACCAAGGCACTGATTATATTAAAAACATATCGCCCATGGTAAAAGGTTGGATGGGGGATGTAGTTAAAACCATGGGACGGTATATGAGTTTTGCATTATTTTTATCTTTTCAACTCATAATTTTATTCTCTGCTGATTACTACAAATCTTAAAAGATGGACTGTTTGCTTCTAAAAATTTCTCTGTGAATTTAAAACAAAAACTCTTAGAAATATGAATTTGATAGGCTTTAGGCCCAATAGGAGAAATTTCTTTGCTGCTTCCCCTGCGTTCATTAACAGATTTATAATAGAATGTATAAATTCTCATTCAGTGTGTTCTGGAAACATCATGTATATTGTTCATTGCAGAAGCTCTGAATCAGGGAGAAACTGTGGATCTGGATGCCCTGATGGCCGATCTTTGCTCAATAGAGCAGGAGCTCAGCAGTATTGGTGCAGGAAATAGTAAGCGTCAAATCACAGAAACAAAAGCTACTCAGAAATTACCTGCTAGCCGACATACAACAAAACATGGCACTTTGAAAGGATTGTCTTCTTCATCTAACAGAATAACTAAAGCATCACATGCCAACTACTCCCTGGATGACATCACTGCACAGTTAGAGCAGGCTTCCTTGAGCATGGATGAGGCTGCTCAGCAATCTGTTCCAGAAGACACTAAGCCCTTAGTAACTAATCAGCACAGAAGAACAGCATCAGCAGGCACAGTGAGTGATGCAGACGTGCGCTCTATTAGTAACTCCTCTCGTTCTAGCATCACCTCCGCAACGTCTAGCATGGACTCATTGGATATTGATAAAGTAACACGCCCTCAAGAGCTGGATTTGACACATCAGGGGCAACCAATTACTGAGGTAAGTAGATGCAACTTTTTCCCCTGGTATTTTAGTATTTAAAAAAGGAGGAAGTTATATTTTTCAAACATAGTTTTAATTATCTTTTTTTCCCTACATTTAAAATTTGTCAAGGATCCCTCTAAGCTAAGTTGTAAAATAAGGCTATAGAAGGAATATGTTACCAGATAATTAAAAGAGTTTCTTCATTTTATTCTTAGGTTGTTTGAATCCCTTGAATTAATACCATTTGTTTCACATGATTTAAAAACTTGATATGTGATTTATATTTGATGACATTTTGTAAAGCTGTTGTAGTTATTAAGCTAATAATAGTTGTTGTTTAATGTATATTTATTATAAAAGAAAAACTTATGAAAAAGATACCTATCAGCACTGTAGTCCTCCAGTATTCTATTTTGTCGAAAAGTAAGTAAGTGTACTGTAGTGAAAAGAGCCACTGGGCTTGGAATCAGAAAACTTGGTTCCAAGTGTTGTCTTTGTCAGTCACTACCATTAGGACCTTAAATGAGTTATTCAGCCTCTGTGAACATCAATTTCTCATTAGTAAAATGGAGCTAATAGTGCATGGTGTACTCCTCATATGATGGTTCAGAGAATCAAAAGTGATAATATATGTGAATGGATTTTTAAAAGATAAAAATTTTTTTTAATGTGTTGGGGTAAAGGTAAGGAATGGATTTATGTTAAAAATGAGTTTAGCAAAAGCTGAGTTTGGTGTAGGTAAATTCTTTACTGAATATTTTTGTCAAGAAGAAGGCAATATTATTACAGTGTAGCAGCAAGAAAGAAGAAAATCTGTGGGCAAAATAAAGCCAGCCTTCCATTTAATTTATGCTTACAATGCTCTCTACCACAGGGTAAAATAATCTATTGAAGAATAATCAGTACCAAGGTAAAATCTTGTAAAACATGATTTAAAGAATCACAGAGAAGTTTAAAATTTATACCTGTTATTCAACATTATTGATTTTCCCCCCACTGATTTAATTCATTAGATTAATTTCTCTCAGTCAGTAACTCATTGCACCCCTTAATGTACTAGCTTGTTCTGGGCACTGTGCAGCATAAAAGAAGCCTGAATGATGGTAGTTTGGAGATAAATTTGAGTTTTATTACTTGCAAAGAATATGTATATTATACCAATCTAAAAAGTAAACTTTGACTTAATTTAAAATGAAGCTTGTTTAAGTGGTATGTAGAGAACTTAAAAATTGATTTGTGTCTTAACGATACTTGAGGATTATATTTAGTACCAGCTCCATAGTATGTATCATTTATGTCTTTTAGATTTACCCTTTGGAATATGAGCAATATTTTATTAGGGATATGCTTTCTTGGTTATACTGTGTTTTATATGTTGATATTCCTTTCTGCTCAGATTATTTTGAGTTGGGTCAAGGGGAATGTGGTCAGGTTATGAACTAATCATTAAGGATCTTTGTGTATGTTTCATCTGTAAAAATATACTCATTATATACATTCAAACAATAAAGTAAAAAGTGAAAAATCGTCTCCAGCAACTCTTCAGATGTGACCTAGTGGTATTCATAGGCAAGGATACCTGTGTGTTCAGTAGTATCATGTTTAACATAAGACTTCAGTGTAAAGGTTGGTGAGTAACCCAGGAATAAAACAGAGAAAGAGTTAAAGTCTTCTCTATCCAGCCTGTTCTTTTGCCTTGCCTGGATGAGTAGAAAAGTGGCTTAACAAATCTAGGACTTGCTTTAGGGTACTTTTTTATGGATCTAGTCTGTTCTACATATTAAGAAAACTAATTGAGGCTTACTAGATCCCAAACCCATGTATCAAATGTCCCTACACTCAAATACAATTTTTAAAGCATATTGTAATTACATTTACATTCATGGAATTTAAAGAGTCCAGTAGTTCTCTGAGACTTGTTAACAGAAAACACTGCTACACATGTGCACAAGCATGCCATATTCTCTCAGAGGTCAGAACTTCGTGCTCTTTCAGCTGATTCTCAGTGTATTATATCTATATCATTAAATCTATACTTATATTACTATTTCATGATTTATTACAGTTATATGTGCTATCTTCTGACTTTTTACTCTGGAAGATTAGGATTTAGACAACTCCTTTTTAGACAACTCCTCTCCCTTCTCCCTTCCTGTTTTCCTGCCTTCCCAATATATTTTGATTGGATTACTATTCATTGTTTGTATTATCATGAATGTATATTTGGTGCTAAACTCTGTATGTCTGCCTGCCTTCCTTCCTTCCTTCCTTCTTTCCTTCCTTCCTTCCTTTCGTTTTTGGGAAAGATAGTGAATGAGAGAGGAGTAGAGAGAGAGAGGGAGACAGAGAATCCCAAGCAGGCTCCATAATGTCAGCTTAGTGCCCAGTGCAGGTCTCAAACTCAGGAGCTGTGAGATCATGACCTGAGCCGAAATCAAGAGTCACACCTTGACCCATTGAGCCACCCAGGCGCCCCAAACTCTATATGCTTTTATTACATTTCCTTTCTGGGACATTACATTTTGCTTACCTTGAATTAAAGATTGTCTTTACATTTAAAAACGTATAGGTTTTTTGTATGTTTATCACTATTTCAACTCCAAACATTCCCCCAGGATTAACTCTCTTGGTTCAAACAAAATTAGCGTTCTATTAATATCATCTTAAAATTCCTTGTTTTCTTTTGTAGTCTTTTCTCTAGGATCATTCTTAGGTCTTTTCTCTCAGGGGAGTGAGCTTCTCCAGAGAAGATTTTTCATTCTCCTGCATGGAGGGCATATGCCTGGCTCCCAGTGCTTTAGCATCTTCTATCTACTAGGTGCCAGGAGTACAGACACCTAGTTCAGTTGTGACAGTTGTGACAACTAGAAATGTCTCCAGACGTTGCTACATGTTCCCTGTAAGGCAAAAGTCCCCCGTTGAGAATCCCCTTTTTTTTTTTTTAGTTTATTTTGAGGGAGAGAGTGCACGTGATCATGGGAGAGGCAGAGAGAGAGAGAGAATGCCAAGCAGGCTTCACACTGTTAGTACATATCCTGACGTGGGGCTCGATCCTGCGAACCATGAGATCATGACTGGAGCTCTAATCAAGAGTTGGGTGCTTAACGGACTAGGCCACTCAGGTGCCCCAAGAATCACTTTAAGTAGAAAGGGTTAATAGGAAGTCTGAGTCCTTTTTTTCATGGGAAACTATATTGGGTGTTTTCCTTCTCCCAGCATTTTTTTTTTTAAATGTTTTTTTATTTCTAGGAGAGAGAGAGAGAGAGAGAGAGAGACAGCATGAGCAGGGGAGGGTCAGAAAGAGAGGGAGTCACAGACTCTGAAACAGGCTCCAGGCTCTGAGCTGGCAGTCAGCACAGAGCCCGACGCGGGGCTCGAACCCACGAACCGCGAGATCATGACCTAAGCAAAAGTCAGACGCTTAACCGACTAAGCCACTCAGGCACCCCCCCCCGGCATTTTTTTTTTAATTAGACTAATAAATACAGAATTTTCCAGGTAATATTGTTTATTATAAACTGACCCCTGGTTAGTGAGTGCATATGGACCAGGAAGACTGTGAGTGAACTATAGAAGCCTACGAAAAGACACAGTCCTTTGTTTCCTGGTGTTCAGTGTGTCAGTTTTGTAAGTGAACATAAATACATCCCTTGAGGGATCCTAGAACCTACAGTCATTGGCTGTTAAAATGTACTGCTGGTTCATGTGGAGTATGAAGTTTCCCTAAGTCAGAGTGATTTCTGTACTTACCTACATGATCTCTGTGCCTTACAATGGTGTGTCCACAAAAGGTTTCTGGGGTGCTGAATAAATCCCTTATAAAGATAGCATGTCTCGTGCTAGCATGCTTTGTTTCTGCAGAACTAAGTGAACTTGGTGCCAAGTTATGGTTTGTTGGGTCCTGTAAGTTGACTGTCAGTCTCAACCTGAGACACTGCTAGTAGGCGAGTAAAAGAAGAATCTGAGAATTAACTCCTTTTTTAAGTATGCTTTCAACTAATCCTCCTGGTTTTCTTTGCACAATCATTTCTGTTGCTTCTAGAGACTTTGGAGGTTACATGATGTACATTGGGGTACTTCTGTGCTTTTCTCCAGTGCTGGCTCAATGTTCAGCTTTCCTTCAGCCTATTGAGTTGATTACGACTCAGCCAAATGCTTCCTAGCTTCCAAAATTTTGTCATGTCTTCTTGTGAGTTTGTCATTAATTTTTTTTTTTTAAGAAAGCAACACAAACGGTGCCTGGGTGGCTCAGTCAGTTAAGTGTCCAGCTCTTGATTTTGGCTCAGCTCATGAGCTTGAGCCCCCACATCTGGCTCTGTGCTGACTGTGGAGCTGCTTGGGGTTCTCTCTCTCTCTCTCTCTCTCTCTCTCTCTCTCTCTCCCTCCCTCCCTCCCTCCCCCTCTCCCTCTCCTCTCTCCTCTCTCCTCTCTCCTCTCTCCCTCCTTCCTTCCCTCCCTCCCTGTTCCACTCGTGCTCTGTGCTTTCTCTCTCTCTCAAAATAAATATTTTTTTTAAAAGCAGCAGAAAAGAAAATATTTGTCTTTGTTTTAGCTTGATTTGGGGAAAGAGTGGATACATCTCATTGGCTATTCCTTCACAATCTCTTTCTCATGTCTATGGTCTCTAGACATTGAAATACCCCAAGGTGCAGTCCTCAGACTACTTTTCTATCCAAATCCAGTCTTCTTGTGAGCTTAAGCACTGACAACTCCCACATTTTAACACACTGTTTCATTTATCTAAGACACACCTCTTCTTCACATTCTAATCCCTCTAAAACAATGGTAACTGGGAGCTATTTTGCCCTGCAGGGGACATTCAGCAGTGTCTGGGGACATTTTTGGTTATCACTGATAAAAGGGTGCTACTAGCATCTTGTAGGTAGAGGCCAAGGGTGTTGCTAAAATCCTACAACACACAGAAAAGCCACCACAGCAAAAAATTATCTGACTCAAAATTGTACCAAGGTTGAGAGACCGTGTTTTAGAAACAGGTAGCATCTGTCACTCACTGT